TTATTCGGGGTTGACGTCTGCCAGGGCAGGCTCATCATTCAGGCTGTCTTCGACAGGACTGCAGACTCGTTTGGCTTTTACACAGTATTCTCTCTTCTTGATCACAAACTTGGAAAATGAAAGTATAAGTTTGGACAACAAGTTACGGAAAATATTGAACTGTTTTAGTAGGGATTTATTGCTATAGAATGACTTAGGAATTCAGGGGGGGATCCAGGATTTTTTTTAGGAGGGGGTGCACTCGTCTCTTGCTCTACTTCAACACCAATAAACCACATAGTTTTATTTATTTATTTTTTTTTTTTTGCAGAATACCAGTTGTATTAGAAAACCGCAGGTCATCTCAGATGGGGGGGTGCCCACCCCCTGCACCCTCCCCCTAGATCCGCCCCTGGAATTAGCGAACAAAAAGAAAGAAACAAGTAAATTTTTTGTTATTTCATTTTTTTCTACTTTTTGTTGTTATTATTATTTTTTGTATTTTTGTGACCGTTGTTGTTGTTGCTGTTCGCATCTTTTGGCCTAATCGCTTTTTCTTACAAAGTAATTAAAATTTCATCCGAAAAATCTACTATCTTCCTTTAATAAATTAAAAAAAGCTATTAAACTCATCGTTTTCCTTTAAAGTTGAAAAAAACGATGAGTGAACTGTCATTACTTTATCTATCTTTTTATTGGGATTGCCTATTTTCATCTTTTTCCAGTTACTGATGGAAAATTCTACCTTGAAACTTCTTTTCCCGCCGGGCGGTCTGGGATCAATACTATCTGGTGGTTGGTCCCCTTGGGCATGACATACAATGGCTACGGCTACCAACATCAGAAGCACAGCGAAGAGAAGCTTCTTGTTCATTGCCTTTTTCCTAAATTGAAAACAAATACAAATTGTTTCCCTGGTTTGTTGTTATTTTTCACTACCATTATGTCACTAACCCTAGGCTTTAAGAAGAAAATATTGAACATTTTGTGACCATCCCAAGGGAAATAATTCAGCAATTGAGTAAAAGCCGATGAACTGACCAATACAATTAAGTGTGTGCTTAGCCCGATTAAAAAATAGTCAGTTTAAGCAGAACAAAGATTATACTGCCCACAATGAAATTAACATGATCGATCTTCGAGAAACACTTATACCATAGAAGATGTTCGAAAACGTACCTTGCCGTCCAAAGTTTTTCTAGGGATAGAGGGAGTCAATACTCTTTTTACAACAACGTTGTCGTGTGTCTTTACCATCAAAAAGTCCCTCAATTTATAAAGACTGGAATAGAACAAATAACCAGCTGTGACCCAATCAAAGTTTAACTGAAGCGTCATGCGGCGCCCACGAAATACCAGTTGTTAATATCCGCGCTGTCTTTAGCAGGACAACTCTTTTGACACTATCAAGACGCTTTGTAAAGGCAATAATTGGGCCATTACTATCCAATCTATAATTCATTTCTAGAACGGAATTGACAATCTATCAAAAAAGGGAAGCAGAGAGAGAAACAGGCCAGAAAAAAATTCATTTTTGACCTTAAATAAAACGAAATCTTTTCGGTCGAAACCGTCATCACAAAAGTCGTCTTCTGCAATGGCGGGCCTTAAAATTGCCAACTGAAGGATGCAAAAGGCTGCCTAACACCACAACTTGAGGTTTGAGGGCACTGTGAACTCTCTCAAAAGATTCAAATTAACCCTAATCTTTTTTGTGTTTTGAAGTAAAGGGTAAAGGATGTGTTTGCGCAAGATCAATTCAGAGGAGTTTTAAGCACCGTGAGAGCAACAGAAAAGCGAGACAGAAAAAGGAGAGATTTGACGTTGTTTTTTTTTTTTTCGCATTGCAGATCATGTTTTTTTATGTAAAAGTTTAATTTCAGACGTCACAAATTGTATGAAATGAAACAACATGTTTAACTAAAAGGAGTAGGAGTAAGCTTTCCTGAAGGTTAATTTGTGCAGCTCAAAAAACGGAAGCTACCTTCTTTTCTGTAGGAAATGGTAGATAAAAATAATAGTTTTGCGTGGTATGGTGACATTTTCACGAAAATCACATTCTGTGTTGTAACCATTTTCCTACACACAAAGTGTCAACCATAATGAATTATTATAATCAGTTTGATTCATCGTGAGATCGACAGAAAAGGGAGGCAGAAAAAGAACAGATTTGTTATAATGAGTATTAAGCATCGTGAGGCCGACAGGAAAGGGAGACAGAAAAAGGACAGATTTGTAGGGTTTGTTTCGCATCTCGGATAACATTTTTTATGCAGAAATTTAAACCTCTAGCAAATTAAAACTTTGAAGGGAAATAAAATTCTCTCGAAACAGACCAGACGCAATGATTAGCATTGATTCTGGACGCTTATCATATAGAAAAATTGATAGTACTCATATCATTTATGTTTTTGTTGAAGCGCCAACTAGACTTTTCTTGGTTAACTGAATCGACAGTTTGTAAAACATTTAACCATTTTCTTAACAAACACACCATCATGATTGAAAAAATAAGCAATTAAACTTTTGACGCATCTTGTTCACCTGCACTCACTTGTTGGCACAGATTTGCTAATATACTGCACTCACTTTTCATGCTGGCCACTAGAACTGCTTTAACCGACGGGTGAGTTTGTTTTTGTAAATAAATGTATCCCGGGCCTTTGATATAATGTCCTGTACCAAAGAGTCCAATAAACAAATACGTGCAGTGTGTTAGGACTGTTTACAGATTTTCAATCAACCTCTAAAAACAATTATCTCGAAGCTCAAGGTAAACCGCCAGCTCTAATTGACAAAACGATGACCAGTGAGCGAATTAGCATTTGAGTCCTAGTCTCCAACGTTTGACTGTTTATTTCAAAACCTTAATGATGTTATTTCATTGGGAAAAGATTGAAAAGCATACAAGTTAGGTCAAGTTAACTTCATTTAAGGTGTTCCAAACTAAATCGTCCTTTTCCAATTTTGTAAAATTCCGCTAAAAATGGTGATATTCTCTATTTTTCAGCTCGTTCTTTTTTTAAAATACATGTTATTGCCTATTATTCTGACTTAATAAATTCACCTTAAATCAAACCCGCTCTCCTTGGTCAATTTCTGGCGGACTTGAAAACGATTCCGCAGGCAGTTTCACTTTTTTCTCATGAAATAATAGTTTGACTTAAGTCCGATTTTCCGACTCAGTTATAATTCTTACTTTTTTCTATTAATTCTACTGTTTCTTTCAGTCGACCTTATTTTTATTTTTTATTTTGATCACCCCAATAACTCGAATTATCCGCTAAGTCGAACTGTTTATCGTTTCCCTTCAGAGTTCGAGTTACCGGGGTTCTAGAGTATTTTTATTGGGATAACCAGCGGGAGTCTGTGGGTCATCCATGTGTCATCGGATTCTATGTGAATTGAACCTCGTAGATCACAAATTCGTTGGAAAAGCCATTCACCAGATAAAAAATTGGATTTAGATTAATTGACGATTTGTTTTGTTTCAGAAAAGGAAATCCGTTTTAATATAAAAAATCTATTATTGGGTTGGCCGAAAGGAGCACACCCACATAAAGTTCGGCTTATAGCGAAGTCAAGGGAGTGAAGGATTAGTAAGTTTTCCTTCGACTAAACGAAGCTTTATTGGAATTTAAACAATGGTATTAAACGCACTTGAAAGAATTCGTCAAACACGTGGCGTGGAGATAAACATCAACTTGGAACTGATAAAAAAACGAAAAAAAATGTTTTTGCTGTCATCCTAGGCTTGTTATGTCGATGGTACTTTTTTTTATATATTTAGAGCCGTGGCGAGTGCGATGTTTTATAATAGTAAAGAGCACTCAGTGGCTCCCTCTTCTGCAGAGAGACGAGCCTCGCGCTCTTAAAAATTCAATTTTCGTTCTCCCGTACCTTTAATATGACGGTTTTGAAAGCCATCTTGATGGGTGAAGGGTCTTGCATGGAAATGGAATGCCGCATGATTTTCATAGAACGGCTGTTCTAAACAAAAAAGAATTGTAAACTTAAGCTTCACGGCAAAGGATTATACTAACAGTTGATGGGGGCAGCACCTCTGCATAATGCCCGGTTTACACTACACCATTTTTACCGTACCAAAAATACCGTGCCAAAATTTTTGGGCCCGCATAAGTTCTCTAGAGACATGCGCAATTCAATTAGGAAGCAAAGATAGACGACGAAGTCTTTGTGCTGTATCTCTTAAAAAATGCGTTTCACAAAGTACAAAGCTCAACTATGGACACCGAAGAGTTGGCAAAAGTTTGCCAGCAAGAATCGTCTAGCATAAAAAAAGAAAGAAAACAAGGAAACCTTTAATGTTTCTTGCAGCCATCGATAGGAGCGTTCGATCGCTTTTTCTCATAATTGTACGTAATTCTTTTACGTCGCTTTCTTTCCAAGAACGTCTGCGTGAGTTTGGTGGAGAACGAGCAGCCATCTTGAAATAAACGCAAGAAAACCACTAGCCTGTATGAATTAAGGCTCAAATTTGGCCCGTTAAAGTGTTTACAGTACTTGGTCTATCCGAAAGGTGCAGATTTTTTCAGCACCCTACCATTTTCACCGGTGCTCGGACTACCTCGCCGAAGGTCCCAGCAAGGGTAAAAATTTTGGTACGGACAGGTTGTTTACACTGCAAATTTTATCCGAGCCGAACCCTTTTTGGGGGACCCGTACGCGCCATTTTCACCCGAGCAGTGCCAAAAATTTTCTGTAGTGTAAACCGGGCTTAAATCTGTCCGGTGGCTTGCTTTGGATTTTCCAGACATTTGCCTAAATTTTTCATGAGAAATTTTAGTCGGAAGGAAGAAAAATTTTTTAAACACAACACTGTATATTTTCAAGCGGTTACCTAACCGTCAAGATGGCCTCCAAAACCGTGATTACCGTAATGATTCGATTTAGCGCCCTCCTTCCAACATGAAACTCTTCAAACGAATGATCTCTTCGTCAAATTTTGTGGCGACTGCTCTGCTTATCATTCTGGCGAGGAAGGATCCAGGGACAACAAG